ATATATCTAGATATCTATATATATTTCACATTGCTGTGATTCAAGTCATTATCCACTATGATCTTCATTAATATAAAGTATAAAGCTGTATCATTTGGTGCTGTGTAATGATCAGTGGTGGATTTCTGCATCTGTATGTTGATCCAGAGGTGATACATAGTGGCTGCATAGATCCCAGAGCCTCCCCTCTATGCAGCCACAGGGAGGATTCCTGCACATCAGCTGCTGTGTGAGCTATTTGTGGCTGAGCCTGCCCTGGGGGACTCTCCTTCTTGCCTCTCTACTAAGGCTGACACCACGTTGGGAAGGGGGCTGCTCAGAGGAGCTGCAGGAAATCAGGGCCAACTGTCTCTTTAAGAAAAAGTTTCGATGTGTGTGAAGTTCAAGTTGGGGTCATTTGAAGTTCCTGCCCTGGATTTTACCTTGTAGTTTAATATAGCTACACATCACATGGGGCGCTAACAGCCTCAGTTCACATAGAGAGCCCTTTATCTCCCCAACATTATTGCTTGAACACACCAAAATAGCAGAGGAAATTGCTAAAATAAAATCAGAGGAAACTGATGCTGGGCCCAGCACGTATTAGGCAGAGGAAGAGCCCGGGCCTGTTTTGCCATTCACAGAAGAAGGAAAAAATAAGGGGGGGAAAGGAAGGTTGGCACAGGAGCCCCGGAGAGCTGGCATGGTGCATGGGAGGATGGCAGCCGCGGACAATACGCCCTAGCAGAGACTTTGGGATGGTCACTCACTCAGACACCAGCTCCATGAACGCCACTAGACTACCAGGTAATGATGGGCACGCAGGGCGATGGGATACTGGCACCTAAGGGGGCACATTGCATGACATGACATTACTGAGCTCACGAAATTGATTGAACATTTATTGATCACATTTTAGATTTTGGAAACAAAAAATGATGTGTTTTGAAGGAGAGTTCGATCATCCGTTAAAAACGTAGGCAGCAATCAGGGCTATAGAGAAAAGTCATAAAGCAGAACAGCACCTGGATCTGTCTGCTGGTGGCTGCTTGTCTATGGAGGTGACAGCTCGATGTACAGCCATCAACGGGACATTTCCCTGTCACTAGTGAGTATCATTCTTGCAGAACTATGTGCAGGCTGAGACACATCGGTAGTTATTGTTATAGATATGGAGGGTTTAGCTGCCATCGAATCGGTCATTTATTTTCAGGTTGCAGGAAAGTCGGTGACTTTCTGCCTGGGAAGGACAGAAGTCCGTCTATGATGTAGGTGGGAAAGGACAGATAACTGGACTCTTCACATCTTCCTCATTAGCTCAGTCGTCTGTACATTGCTCAATGCTTCTGTACTACTTGTGCAGTCCCAGCCCAGAGGAGAGCAGCTGCTTCCAATAACACAATCCGGGCTATATTACAGCCCCTCATCCTGGAAGGATGGAGGGACATTCATTGCCCTGCCTGCCTACAACTGCTCCCTGCTGTCCTAAATGACAAGTCACTAAATGACTGTCACATACAATTCGGGGTATATTACAGCTTCTCATCCTGGTAAGATGGAGGGAACTTTAATGCCTTGCCTGCCTGCAACCAGTTCAGCTCCCTGCTTTTCTAAATGACAAGTTCGGTGTGACTGTCCTTTACAATCAGGGCTGCAATACAGCCCCTCATCCTGGAAGTATGGAGGGACCTTTATTGTCTTGCCTGCCTGCAACCAGTTCAGCTCCCTGCTTTCCTAAATGACACATTCGGTGTGACTGTCACCTACAATCCGGGCTACAATACAGCCCCTCATCCTGGAAAGATGGAGGGACCTTTATTGCCTGCAAAAAGTTCGGCTCCCTGCTTTCACAAATGACAAGTCACCAAATGGCTGTCACTTTCTCATCTATAGGCGATCGGGATGACTGATATCATCAAAGGATCAACATAACAGAAATTCACCCCAGACTGTGATGAGCTGTCACTGCTCCAGGCGGGTTCGCAATAATCAAATAGAATAGGTAAAAACATAACACAAAGTAGCCGATAACACACCATCTAAAACTAGCAATGTTATCAAAATACTACAGAAGAGTTTATTTATTTATTTAAGCAAAGCTGGACACAAATTATCTGTTTAGTATATGTGTCCGGTACAGAAGTTACTTTGTTGTAACATTCCCAGAGAACACAAATACGAATCTTTACAAATATACATTACACCGCTCTTTAGATACTTCGAAACCTATTGTGTCTGTACAATCCTATTATTTCTTGTTGCCTTTTCATTATATTAGCATCGTGTCTGCTGCTTCAAACTCACAGCAACGAATTACATTTAAAAAAAAAAACTTTTGTAAATATTAATTTTTCTTAAAAATGTTTCTCCTTTTGTAGTTTAGTCCCGTCATCATCACACATATATATTGTTTTATTTCATTTTCTAAAACGAATTATACATTTTAGCATTACGAAACAGGCACAAAAAAAATCAAATCAAATGAAAGCAATTTTAGTGATAATAATCGTTTTAGTGAAGAGCATAAAAAAACAAAAACATAGATACTAACAAAATAATAGAATATAAAAATAAATAGTAGACGAATTAAACATGTAAAATACATATTTCCTTGTGCTTTGGTTATAGTCGTTGTGTTATGATAAATGTTATATAAACTGAGTGTGTAGATCAAATACTTTATTATATTTCTTATGTATTCCTTTTTTTTTTATCCACTTGTTATATTCTTGACACGGGGCACAGTAGCAGACATGTGACTACATTGTACGAATTTAAAGCTTGATACATTATCTTCAGAATTTAATTCTGCTGGTTATTTCCTAACAACACTCTTTGTATCATTTTAATATAGATCTAGCACAGGATATGTCGGCTTTCTTTGAATGATTTCCTAAAGTGCTGTAATGAGCCTAATAATCCAATCCCCTCGTTTTATCTACCTGTTTCCTTTCACTTTCCCTGCTCTGCTCCTGCTTATCAGATCAATAATTGTGGAGGAAGCAGGTCTCCTTGTAGTTCAGATAATGTTCCCTGTAATAAATCTCTCTTCTGTACAAGCTTTTCTCAGGGGAATGAGGACAGATTAGTGAAGTCAAACTTTACAAATTGCTTATCAAGCGGAGAGTAGTGCTTGTAGTGAGTGACAGTCCTGGGGGTACTGGGACCCCCACAATGGTCATTCATTATTAATCTCCATGTCCTCAATGTGAGGACATGGAGATTAATGTGTTGGGTTCTTAAGCCTCTCAACACCTCATTATATGTGTGATACCAGCAGATTGTACAGGCTCTGCGGAGGAAACCTACAAGTGACAGGGATATGTCAATGGGCAGGACTTCTCTGTGCTCTTTTTCCAGATTGCTTTATGCTATGGTAGATTTTATAAGCAGTCACATGACCAAACAAACCCCAGGGGGCTTGAAGTAATACTAGGTGTATTGCAGTCAAGCAGTCCCACCCAAACAATGAAAGCTGACACCGGGCTTGTGTGACAGCCAGGACACCCCTGCCATTAGATTCACAGCAATGCAGGTGGCGCAAGGAGGAAGTCACAGGTTTGTGGAGGAGGAGGAGAAGAAAGGGGGGGAGCACCTGTCAGTGATAAGAAGGAGGAGTGATTTGGGGGTGATGGTTCCTGATATGGGGTTTTTGCAGCTGAGAGCAGAAGCGGTGGTGATGTCATTTTCTTAATGCCTACGAGGGCTTTTAGCCACCCCCAGCCCCATGTTTGCAGAGAATAAAAGCTGTATGTATAGAGGAGAAAGGGGGCACAGCAGCCAGCAGACGCGATGAGGAGGAAAAGCTGGGAAGTCCCGCACCTCATGCCTCATCCTGACAGCAGAGTGTCTGTAATCCTGCACGGTACCTCCTCCTCCTCCTGCTCCCAGCAAGGTACTGCTCACTACTACTCCTGATTCTAATCCATTGGTAGACTACAATATGATATATACCCTCCTACTCCCACCTAGGTACTAATTACTAACAGTGTTACAACTAATTTACTGATAGACTAGAATATGATATGTACCCTCCTACTACCAGCTAGGTACTAATCACTAGCACTGCTACAACTAATTTACTGATAGACTAGAATATTATATATACCCTCCTACTACCAGCAAGGTACTAATTACTAACATTGTACAACTCATTTACTGATAGACTAGAATATTATATATAACCTCCTACTCCCTCCTAGATACTAATCACTAACACTGTACAATTAATTTACTGATAGACTACAATATTATATATGCCCTCTTACTACCAACTAGGTACTGATCATTAACACTGTACAACTAATTTACTGATATACTAGAATATTATATATATCCAGCAATGTACTAATCACTAACACTGCTACAACTAATTTACTGATAGACAAGAATATTATATATAACCTCCTACTACCAGAAATGTACTGTACTGCTACTGCTACTTCTGATATTAATTTAGTGGTAGAATATATATATATACCCTCTTGCTCCCAGCAAGATACTACTTACTCTTCCACCTAATCCACTGCTCGATCAGAATATTATCTGTACCCTTTTTGCTCCCAGTAAGATACTACTAACTGCTGTTTTACAAGCTCGCTGGTATGACTGCATCGTACCTCTTCCTGCACCCAGCAAGGTACTCACTACTACCCCTGCTACTAATTGACTTGTGAATCATACAATTATATATGCCTTACACAGTGACTACAGTACTCAAATGTACCTCCTCTTCATCCTGCTCATAGCAAGTTGCTCTCTACTACTGCTGCTCCTAGTTTACGAGGAAACTAAAATAATACATTCTCATTATATCTGCAGTACTTCATCGTACCTCCTCCTCCTGTTCCCAGCAAGGTACTAACTACTGCTTGTTGCAAACTTGCAAACTCCAATACAATACACAGACCTAATGATTTGTGTAATCCTGCTTTCACTTCTCCTGCCCCCAGAACGATATTAGAACTGCTCCTGCTCCTTGTACACCAAGTTGTCTGAAATACAGCTCAGTAACCCCGTATTTTACCCTGCCAACGGCAAGAAAGGACTTCTGCTGATTGTAGAATAGATTAGATATCCTTCTGCTGAATGTAAGGTGTTCAGTGCTACTCTGTTGTGATCCATTTATGGACTAGGAAATAATACATTCCCTTAATAGTATCTGTGAGACAACACGGGTCCTGCTCTTGGTCTCAACAATTTGGTGATCCAGCTTATTTCGGACATTTGTATTTCTTATAAGGCACGTGTGCGCATATTTAATATTTATTATTCTACAAAAATACTGTAATGTCTCAGGATGAAATAAGGCAGATTTTAGAACAATCTTCTTTTGATTGCATCTAGTACAATTTACTTCTTTTTAGTCTAGAAGTGTTCCACTCATTGCGATTCACACCGCCCTTGCCTACCATTTTCTAAGATAATTCATACAATGTCACCCCCACAACAAATATACACAGGAAATATCAAAAATATTCCGTACCTTCATAAATAAAAAAAGATATCAGGATGCCCCCAATTAAATAACCAAGCTAACTGTGTACCCCACTTACCATCAGAGAGAGTGTGGGGTAGGATTGAACTATAATTTAAATCTGTCCTAAAAGTTATCAAGTTTTTCATGTCATGCCAATCTAATACTTGTGAAGATTCTAAAATCGTATCTTTTAAAAAAAAATGAAAGCCAGATGTAGAATGCGATTGTAACCTGGATAATTTGGAAGTCCTGCTGGAAGGACAGTGATCATCTGCTACCTCAGTTCATAAACCATACCTGCATTGAGTCTTCTCTGACTCATATTAATCCATTCTATAGTTCCTAAAGGCGATGTGTTTTTTCTGAGAATGGAAATGAGATAACAAGGACTGCAGCTGGGCCAGACCAAAAAAATGAGAATGAGAAGCCTCTAAGCACATGCCAATATAAATGACATGAGGTCCACCCAGACAGGGACCCAAGCTGGGCTGGTGACACTGGCTGCGGTGCAATGAAATCAATAGGGTTCACTTCATCTTGTATCAATAGTGGAAGTATGGAAATGTATTTCCAGGGCTGGTCACACTGAATAACGTTCACATGATCTGCTCTAGCCCTACACATGTTAAGTATTAATCTGAAATGGGGAATTATACAAAACAACTAAATATACATGAGTGTTAGAGGTAATAGTAGGATAAACGATCGATACCTTTATTGGACACCTGACTCTGAAGCATATGGGCTGGTTCATTATTTACTGCCTAGAAATTAACGTTCATTTATTTATTTTTATTGCTTTTGTTTTTGCTTCTTCTACCCTTGAAGATAATTAAAATCCTTTTATATAATACGATTTCCACTCTTGATATTTTTTTTTTCTGTGTATTTGTACCATGTGTAATGCCCTTTTTGACCCAGAAGCTGGTATTTCATAATATGTTGGTGTCTCTGCAGGTGGACAACTGAACACGATGCTGGATTCTATGGAGGTACCGAGTCATTCGAGACAACTTCTCCTGCAGCTCAACAGCCAGAGGACTAAAGGCTTCCTGTGTGATGTGATCATTGTGGTACAGAACGCCCTGTTCCGGGCACACAAGAACATTTTAGCTGCTAGCAGCGTCTACTTGAAGTCGCTGGTTGTTCACGATAACCTGATCAACCTGGACCACGAGATGGTGAGCCCCAGCATCTTCAGGATCATCCTGGACTTCATCTACACCGGAAGGCTGGGTGATGCTGAGCCAAGCAGCGAGCAGCTCTTTGGTGCAGTATTGGCAGCTGCCAGCTACCTCCAGATCTCTGACCTGGTATCCCTTTGCAAGAAGAAGCTAAAGAGAAATGGCAAGTACTGTCATGTAAGGACAGCAGGTTACCCGACTTTTGGGAGTCTTGGGCGCGGCTTAAGGGCCACTACACCCGTTATTCAATCTTGCTTTACCTCCGCTCCTAGACCTATAGACGGTGAGCCAGTGAACCCTATAAACACACATTGTGGAGAGCTCTATGCCTCGGTGTCTCAGGGGAATCAGTTGCACCAGCATGGACTTTGCCCACCAGAAAGGCATTGCTCTCCATTGTGTGGACTGGATCTTTCCAAGAAAAGCCCCAGCCGGCCTTCTGCTCAGCACCATTCAGATGGACTTAGTGCAGGTGACAACAGAGAGTCCTCAGTGTCTGGAAGGCCAGATAGTCCTCCAGTAGCTGCAAGTGTTCTCACCAACCACAGCTCCTACAAAGAACCATCCCATCCTTACCAGAAGCTGGACAGCAGCAGTAGCACTCCACCAGCCCAACACTCAGAGCCCTACAGAAACAGCGTCGCTAACAACCACCTTAGCAGGACTGAGAGCCGAGATCTGATGTTTGACTGGATGAAGCCTGAGCCACTGGTCAACTACGTGGATGAGAGTGACAGAGAAAAAGATCTGGACAGAGAAGACAAAGGAGAGAGCTCCCCCTTATCTCAGCAGCCCAGATACCCCAGCATTGAGAGTAATGAGCCTGATGATGATAAAAGTACCAGTGAAGAGACTGGCAGCAGTGGGGACCCCTCACCCTCTGCCAACCTGGAGAGATACCACTGCAACCATCTCTATGAGCCAGAAAGTTATGGAGACAACCTGTATGTCTGCATTCCTTGTGGGAAGGGGTTCCCAAGCAGTGAGCAGCTTAATGCCCATGTGGAAGCCCATAACGAGGAAGAGCTGTACCATAAAGACAGCATGGACCCACCAGTGCCTTTCCTAGACAAGACTAGCCAGAGTTTAGGGGACATCATTCGACCCTACCGTTGCTCTTCTTGTGAAAAGTCCTACAAAGACCCCGCCACCCTGCGCCAGCATGAGAAGACCCACTGGCTCACTCGCCCATACCCGTGTAGCATATGTGGGAAGAAGTTCACCCAGAGGGGTACCATGACCCGTCACATGAGGAGCCACTTGGGTCTCAAGCCATTTGCATGCGATGCTTGTGGCATGCGTTTCACCCGCCAGTACCGGCTGACTGAGCACATGAGGATCCATTCTGGGGAAAAGCCTTATGAATGCCAGGTGTGTGGGGGAAAGTTTGCCCAGCAGAGGAACCTCATCAGCCACATGAAAATGCACACCACGGGACCAGATGGCAAACCTAAGCTGGACTTTTCTGATAGTGTCTATGCCATGGCCAAGTTCACTGCCGACCACTTGGGCCTGAAGCAAGAGAAAGCGGCTGAGATACTCTCCCAGACCTCACACTTCCTCAATGACCCCAAAACGATAGAAAGCTTGTACCCCTTGGCCAAGTTCACGGCCGAGCACTTGGGACTGACCCAGGAAAAAGCAGTCGAGGTGTTAAGCCAGAGTACACATCTGAGCGATAGCAGGATCATAGAGAGGTTCTCCTCCCCATAACATCTTCCATCCATGCTGAGCCTCATATTTAGAGGTGCACAACCTAAACCACTTGCACGACAAAGGACAATAAAGACAGTTATTACCAAAAAGCCCACCCTGCACATCCATTGTAGATCTGGGCTTCCACCACGAAAGAGCCAAAGAAGAACCAGTGGCAGCTTGAAGCTATGCATCACTGCGGGACCAGGAGGATGAGCGCACTTTGGGAAAGCACTTTGAAAGGGACTTGTGCAAAGGCTTTGGTGCACTATCCCACAAGAGACGTGAGTCTTACAAAATGTATCCTTCCGCCATGTACTCAACCTTTCTTCTGCCAAAGGTAGTGGGGAGAGTTGCTGCTTATTGTCCCATGAATGGTGGACATTTTTATGCCTATATTAATATTGTTGTATTTTTTTTTTCTTATGTTGTGAGGACAATCGGATGCAGAAATCAGTATTTTCCCACCATTGCAAAACTAAAGCCCTGAAATTATGTGAACCAGATAAACTAATGACCTAGTCTCAAAGGACGCTATGATCCTGACTTCTACTTATAGTGACAAAAGGAACGTGTTTAGTTGGCTTGCCCTGGGCATCTTCCAGCAAGATTTGCATTATATGTGACAGAACAGATTGGCATTATACAATTTGGCAGTTTCCAACCACAGAAGAAGACATAGGAGTAGATGCATTAAAGCTGCAGGGGAGCAAAGTCGAGGTGTTGCCCTTATCAGCCAATCAGATTATAGCTGTCATCTATGAAGCGCAACTTATACAAAAAAAGAGTGATTGGCTGCTATGGACAGCACCTCCAGTTGTCTTTTTTTCCAACTTCTATAGGGGAGCTCCTGAGAACAGTTTATTTCTAGTTAATATGATTCAATATCCTGCTGACTGCGCAATCCAAATGCCTTCCCTGAGCCACAACAAAGCATTCCATTCTCCTCAATTTCTTGTCATTAGAAGTCAGTATCATGACAGCATCTGTGACATGTGCCAAAGAGTCACTCCGGACACTTCACGTTGTAGCACTTTTGATCCATTAGCACTTCTCTTGTCAATAATGTATGTGTGCCTTATTAGCCAGCTGTAGATTGCAGAAGAGGGGTGACCTGCAGGTGGGACGGGGGTGCAGTGAATTGCTTTAGGTCAGCTCCCACTCAAGACAGACACACACATGGACTGTGGGTGAATAATATTCCCAGAAGTGTGGCTGACCAAGTGTAGCTTTCCAATCATTTCCCAAATCTCCCCCTCCTCCACACCAAAGGTCTGGGGTGTGTAGGAAGCGCTGCAATCACGTGGGAATACTGATTTGTGCTGTCTGCACAGTTGTATTGTATATATTTGTATTAAAGTGAACCTGTCAAGTCTCTTGCACTGACCATGGTGTATGGAGACATAATGTGCCTTTAACCATTGTACCACTTTGATGTCCATTAGGACAGGGTGATGCTGTTACAGAGTAGCACCCCTCTGAAATAGAAGAGGGGTGCTGCCTTTGCTGTGCCTTACCGCAGTGAGCTCAGGTTTCAGGATTTAGGAGCTGAGCATCCATGTTTATACAGGTTAAAAGGAAACTCCATAACCCAACCACCTTATATGAAACCAAAGTAGAGTCATCCCCACCCCCTAATCACTTGGTAGAGTGCCTTATAACTCCTAAAGGAGCCAGTTACCTCTAAGGAGCTGGGAGGGGGTGAAGACTGCGTGTTAAATGTGCCTATTGTAGATAGACAATCATCCAATTTACTGGGGTAATGTGGGGGCATTGACAACTGTGAATATGGGGGTACCTGCTTCTGACCACCCCATGCTTTAATCGGGGCTAGGCAAGCTTTGTCATTGTAGATCACAAATACAAGCTGGTGTATTCCAAAGAGCTACTGATAACATCCAGAAAAAGATCAGCAATTGTGCCCATACAGGTTATGTTTTACGTTGTACTAACTTATTGTGATATCAGCCATTTTAGGCTAGGATTGGCACTTTGCAGCATTCTTCTATGGGAATACTAGACAGGAGGTCAGGTGTGTGGGAGGGAATGTCGACCCAACAATACCACTTTTATCTCAGATATTTAATTTCTCATAAGCTTTTGGAACTTTTACATATTTATCTCTGATTGTTATTAAACCTTTTTTTACATAACATTTTGTGATGTATGTTTACTGACCCTTTACATCGAAATGACCATACTGGAGGTAGCTGGGAGGATGGTGGGATGTCTGTCCCTAGTCTCAGGTCCTCCTGTTCACCGATGTGTCGGCTAAGTGCAGGAACGAAATGAGAGTCTCTTATTACCATCAGAAACATTGTACGAAAAAAATGTCGATGAAGGGACAAGGTCACATAAACGTACCAACCACAATCCGAATCCTACTGGTGAGGAGCAGAAGGAACACCCGGTGACATATTGGAGTATTGATGTTTGATCAGAAATAAATGTGAAAATAAATAGTGTGTCATATCTGATCCTCCCTCATAAAAAAAACAGCCCTATCTTCATCCTTCTGTCAGACAGAGTAACAATCAGCCCTGTCTTTATCCTAACATCCGAAAGAGTAACAATCAGTCTTGTCTTTATCCTAACATCAGATAGAGTAACAATGAGTCCTATCTTTATCCTTCTGTCAGACAGAGTAACAATCAGTCCTATCTTTATCCTTCCATCAGAAAGAGTAACAATCAGTCCTGTCTTTATCCTTCTGTCATATAACAGCCAGTCCTATGTTTATCAGTCCTATCTTTATCCTTCCGTCTGATAGAGTAACAATCAGTCCTATCTTTATCCTTCTATTAGCTAGAGTAACAATCAGTCCTATCTTTATATTTCTATCAGATAGAGTAACAATCAGTCCTATATTTATCCTTCTATCAGATAGAGTAACAATCAGTCCTATCTTTATCCTTTTATAGAGTAACAATCAGTCCTATCTTTATCCTTCTATCAGATAGAGTAACAATCAGTCCTATCTTTATCCTTTTATAGAGTAACAATCAGTCCTATCTTTATCCTTCTATCAGATAGAGTAACAATCAGTCCTATCTTTATCCTTTTATAGAGTAACAATCAGTCCTATCTTTATTCTTCTATCAGATATAGTAACAATCAGTCCTATCTTTATCCTAACATCAGATAGAGTAACAATCAGTCCTATCTTTATCCTTCCATCACATAGAGTAACAATCAGCCCTATTTTTATCCTTCCATCACATAGAGTAACAATCAGTCCTATATGTATCCTTCTATCAGATAGAGCAACAATCAGTCCTATCTTTATCCTTCTGTCATATAAAAGTCAGTCCTATCTTTATATTTCTATCAGATAGAGTAACAATCAGTCCTATCTTTATCCTTCTATCAGATAGAGTAACAATTAGTCCTATGTTTATCCTTCTATCAGATAGAGTAACAGTAAGTCTTACTTGTCCTTCTTGCAGATAGAATAACAATCAATCCCATATTTCTCCTTCTAGCAGAGTAACAAGCATTATATCATCAGTCCTATACTAATCCTTCTTTCAGAGTAACAATCATTTCTATCATTCTTCAGCTATCAGTTACAGTGATAAGAGTAACAATCAGTCCCAATATTATCCTTCTATCAGTCACAAAGAGTAACAATCAGTCCTATCATTACGTTTGATAGAGTAACAAGTCCTATCATTTTCTTTTAATTAGAGTAAAAAAATCAGAATACCATTACCCTTCTTCATGGTTACAATGATAGAGTAACAACCATGTC